TCTTCTTCATAAACTAACTACTTCTGAAGTCTTTTCAGAGTTCAAGTTCCCCTTTTGGCCTTAAAACTCTAGGGAAACTCCTCAGGCTGCTGGAGTTAACAGTGGGGAGCTCCGCCTCTTACAAAAGAAAACTTAATCTAGCCCCTCTTCTGAAGGTAAAGTTAGTTACCTAGCAAGCATCCATGCATCCCTACTGCGCAGCCTTAAACAAAAACTTCTTAGAAACAAAACTTCAAAGTGACTGTGACCCTAATAAAAGTGTACAGCTTCATGGCAAGAACAGTGAAACAGTTTGAGGAGCAAGGCCTCATTGAATCAAGCCTTCTGTCATTTCCACTCTCTTGGCTGAAATCTTGGTTAGGTAAGAGATCAGGTGATCTCAGCAGTAACCATGATCATGAATCTTGGGGCTTTTGTTCTATGTACTGGGATAGCTTCATTTCCCCATGAAGGTGACTCAAAAGGCAAACATATTTATCATCATCATCATCATCATCATTATTATTATTGTTATTCAGATAGTGATCCTATCACAAGGAGATTCATATTTAAAACATCAGCTTGCTCACAAAATTCACTCATCCAAATAACGCAGTGGGTACTTTATAATAGCTGAATCCCAAGATTAACAATAAAAACCATACCTCAGTTCACTAACTTCTGTTATCTTATGTACCTGAACAGTAACCCTTCCCCCCCCTTTAGGCTTAAGTCAGTTTAAGATGGGTTTTTCCGTTACTTGCTGTATGTATGAAGAGTCAGTCAAACCAGATGTAACAATATAACAAGACAATTAGAAGTAAATATGTTATGACTGGGGACAAATGGGCCCCTGAACAGAGGGGATAAAAGACAGAAGAGCAGGAAGTTGGAGACGTTGTCTTCCTGGCAGCTGGCAGCGGCAAGACAAACAGGGAGAGGTAGGTTTTTGTGTTTATGGATGCGATCATCCAATGAACTCTGTAGATACCCAAAGGTAGGGATCTTGCAAGGTTGTTTTAGGCTGGTAAGGAGGCAGAAATTTGGAATATTCAGGGAAGAAAAAACATGAGAGCTAGAAATTTCAAGCTTTGGGTGGGAGTCTTCAACCACTAAAACTCCCTGGGATGTCATATAATTATGGACCCATCCACAGACTCAGGTAAACTGGTACTGCATTCCATGCCTTCCCCAGTCAGTCTAGCCCAGGAAATTGGTCTTTGTTCCAGTCAGGAAACTTTAAACTAAACCCAGACAGCAGTACCTTAAGCAGTTTGTATCATGGCACATGCAAGGTGACAGCATGAAGCCCACTTTGCTTGGAAGAAAAAGGAAAGAGGGAAAAGGGAAGAGTGAGAGTGGAAGAAAAAAAGAGGAAGAGGGAAGGGAGGCTGAAAGGGAATGAAGAGAAAATGTAGTCCAGATTTCATGCTTCCAAATGTTGATATGGCCAACAGCAGGCTATGCCCTTCCAAATTCTTGAAGATGAAGTCTCAGTTGTTTTCTGTACTTTCAGCAACCACACACTGTAGACGATCTGCTCTATGCCTCATTCTGGGGTTAAAATGTGTCCAGAGTTCTGTCCTGTCTTTGTATTTCTAAAGCTAATGTCGAAGGTCTGGCCACTATCTCTTATCTCAACAAATGCACTGTCTGCAACCCAGTCCCACTTTGTCTGTCTTTCTGCCTGTCCCAACAATTACTTATAGAGCTACTGGCTCCTTAGAGAGCATTGCATTTTGTTTATTAACCCTCTTGTCCTCCTCTACATCTAGAGACTAAAATATCTATGCAAGTAATTGTATGTGTTTGTGTATGACATTTCTCATTTGAAACATTTTTGATGCTTCCCATTGGTTTCACACAATACTCCATTTGTCTATCCAGCCTGCTACCAGGTCTTTAAGTTTGCAGGGTAAGGTGCTCTTCTTCAGTGTATCCTAGAATTCCTCCATGGAATATCTCAGTCACACAGAAAGACTGAAGTCTACTGGACCGTCCTGTGGGCACTTTGCAAATGACATGTTTCCCCTCTGGAAGATACTCTTTACTCAACAAGCACATTCCAGTGTTTTCAGGTTTAACCTCACCATTCTTCCCATTACAGAGTTTTCTTAATTCTGCATTTGAGTTTACTGTTTTCATCTTCAATGATTTCAGAAGACTTCTTACGCTTCTGTTTTGTCGTTTATATGCCCCAGTCATCTTACTAAATTTGGTGTAGACCTCTACAGCCATTAATCTTATCCCCTAATTATAATGAAAGGGCATTGCATGACCACATGGAGTTTTCTGCTCTGTTATGCTGACCCACACAACTCACTCTCTCATAGTCTTTGCGTTCGTCAAGTAAGCGACACTCAACACATGCTCTGTAAATATTTTTTGAATAAATAATCTCCCAAAGGGGTAAATGTTATTCAAGAATGGGTAGTGTGCCAAATTCATTTATATTTCTTTCTTACGGTAGCTAGAAAAAATGGAGTCATAGAAACTGCTGCAGCTTGAATAAAATATCACACTCATACCATGGTCTCTTGGGTTACTACATCCTTGGCTGAATCTAGGACAATTTGTTATTTCTTCATTCCACTAGTACTTACTGAGTATGTGGTGTAGGCTACTCCTTATTATAAACAACATAAATCACATACATGTCAAAGTATAGAAAACAACTGTATATGCTAATAAATGAATCTCCAAACTTTTTCTTGACTCTTGAATCCCATTCTCAAACAACTAAAAAGACTCCTCCTTATAGCTCCTCCCTATACCTTCCTTCAAAGATTATGAAATAAAACTGCAATTATATTTATAGAAGAAGAAAGAGGAGGTAGAGGACAAGGACAAGGAAGGAGAGGAGAAGGAAGAAGGAAAAGAAGAGGATCATGAAAAAAGGGATGGTGATGACTATATTTTCTTTATTTTAAGTTTCATTGCCGTTCCCTCCCAAAACCTTCCAGTCTTCCACTTGGGGACTAAAATTATGTACTAATTTTTCCTGATTTCATGTTTCCCGTACTTGGCATTCCATTCCAGTTCTAAGAAATTACTTTCTTAAAAATCAGTGTTCTTCCTGAAGATACCTGATAAAACAGGTCAGATGAAAGAGGAGGAGGTCCTCCCCAAGCAGTGGACTTGGAAAGGGGCAGGGAGGAGATGAGGGAGGGGGGTGGGGTTGGGAGGGAATGAGGGAGCGGGATATAGCTGGGATACAGAGTTAATAGAATGTAACTAATAATAAAAATAAATCAGTGTTCTTAAAATGACATGCGAGAGAAGGAAGACTCTATGGGAAGACGAAGGCAACCAGTGTGAGGTGGGGGCAAGGATCCAACAGATGACAGGGCAGGGTTATGATAAACAATACTATACACATGTATGGAAATTTCATAAGGAAATTAATTTACAATCTGTATACACTAATAATGAGGGAGGAAAAGTTATCTAACAAAACCAATTACATGAGAGTATTCGACTATACTCTATTCAGAAGACATAGGCTTTGACACTAGATAGCCCAGGAAAAGAGTTCAGACGGTTCAGCCTGATACTAAAGGAATCTCCCAGAATCCACTTCTAATGTCTTGACACAGTCATTTCTACTGTTCTTTCAACAACAGAGACTCTCATCAGTTTATTCTTGGTTTTGTTATCCTGGATCTCTATTCTCTTAGTATTTAGTTTTACCCATTTTATTCCAATTCTGTTTGTATCTGTAGTTTCAAGGACAAATATTAAGATTGTCTCTAATTCTTCCATTTGAATTTATGCTTAGAAAAGCACTGTGGGATTTTATCGGTCTAAACTTGTCTGTTTTTCCTTGTGCTTTGGTGATTTGTACAAAGGACATTCATGACATAGGTATTGATTAAGAATTTGTTGTCTATTATCCTAAAGCATCTAAAACATATCAGAGTCCCAATAAAAGATTGTGAATTCTTTTTTCAACAGTGCAAACTCCCCCAGTGAGCTATATCTAAAGACAAATTAATGTTTTTGAAAAGATGAAAACCTTAAAGAGTTATGTAGGGATTTTAACATACTATTAATTACTATAATAAAATTTGCATGAAAAGAGGTGGACAGGTTAGGAGAAAAAGTAAACTATACAGAAAGATATTAAAATTATTTAGGGTAGTGTAGAATTATGGAATCAATGTTGCCTAATTCGGTGAACAATTGGACCTATCTGTTCAACATATAAAATCATAAGTACACATACATTAAATATATGAACTGGAAAATACACAGTGCCAGAATTTACTGAAATATGAATTATAGAACAATGAATATATTATGCCAATAAAAAAAAGAATCACAGAAAAATGTTTTCAAGATAGCACTTAATAATTCTTGTGACATTTAGTAAAAATTTATATGAAGATTTTGTTTCTTTCTCTTCCTTAAGAGAACAGTTTAGAAGTTGATTGATGCTTTTTTTCCATATCTATATTTGTGTTTCTTTACTTTAGAAGCTTTCAGAAATTATATTTAGGACATCTCTAGTTATAGCAAGAAGATAAAAGGTGATTATTTATAGGCATCATATTCTTGATGATAGGCTTGCAGAAAGAAAATGCAAACATAAATTTTAAATGTCTTTTGAAAAGAGTCAGAATAAAAAGATTAACATAATTTCTCAGAAACCCTGTATTTTTATTACCAAATCTCAATATTCCCTCCAGGCAAAAGAGCAGCTACTTCAAAGATTTATTTGATAGTAAGATGTTTGATTCTTCTTTTTCTTTTTTTAACGTGGAGAGGCCAGGCTTTCCTTCTACCATAGTGTGCTGTGATTTGAATTTTGAATAGTCTCATTACTAAGAATTTGAAAAATAATAGTTCTGTTTTGGCAGACTAAAGAATTAAACCAACAGCAGCAGTAACTAAACAGAATAAATAAATTATAGCCTACATTCTGCAAAAACGATCCATTTAGACACCAGTTGCCTTGACGACAGACTAGCCACTGCTCAGTCTGATGGGGACAGGGCTGGGCCGTGCAGAGCTCCACTTACCTGCCTGTCCACTTCTGGGAGCAGAAGCAGGAGGTACTGCTGGAAGTGCTGAGGGAAGGAGGCAAAGGTGTGCTTGTTTATCAGGGCCCTCAGGTTAGTGTTGACGAGGATAGATCCTGGGGTTTCTATGTCAATGTCCTCAGCTTTGGTCCATTTCAAGTGGCCTGTGGTGAATAAAGCAAGAGGTATGGATTTACTACAGGATGAAAAAACATGTATATGTGTACTCACTGAACATATATATATATATGTGTGTGTGTGTGTGTGTGTATATAAACATATCCAGCAATATGTTTTTTCTATCACTTCTAAAATAATTTCCAGAGAAGAAATCAGAAAACAAAGCCTTTATTCATAAGATTTATATCTGCCTTAGTTAGATTTCAATCAATATTTATTTGAGTCAGATTAGCACCACGTCCTAAAAAAAAAAAAAAAAAAAAAAAGCTCTGTAACTCTGAATGTCTTATTTCTTACTTGGTTTTGTTTTCTGTAACAGGATCTTATAATGCAACCCAGGCATGCCTATAGCTCACTATAGTTCAAGCTGATCTTGAACTTGTGACAATCCTCATGCCTAAGGCTCCTGAGTATGAGGTACAGGTAATCACAAACTGCAAATTGATCAGAAGTTTCAGAGCATTTAGAAGCATAAATAAAAGAAAAATATATGTATGTCCTCTAAGAGTTAACTTCAATAATAGCAATACCTTGTTAAATGCATTAAACGCAGGGAGCTTAAAGATGCTCAGCAAATGCTCTCCCACTGAACTACACCTCTGCTCAGTGCTCTTAATTTGAATAAGCAGACAGCAGCAAAAGCAATTGTGTGCTCCCACCATGTTTCAGGCAGTGAAGTAAAAGCACAGATAATTTTACAAGGTTCCTATTCAAGGTGTTTTCTGAAATTGATAATTTAAGAAACAAATGCTGATAAAAATTACAGACGCGACATCTGAAGGGGTGAGTACATTTTTTTTTTTTCCAGATCATTCCACATTTCAGGGCGCTCTGGTACCCAGTGGCATCTGTGTGTACACTTCCTAACTGGAGATCACCGCAAGTGAAGCGCGATTCATCATAAGCTATTGACAGCTGGCATGTAAGACAGAACTGTCTGGCACTTGAGCTACCTATTATTCTAGAGTATGCTTCAAGTTGGATGTCAGTACAGTATGGTCTCTAAGCTCCCCCTAAACCAGTGCCTGTTCTGCTGAATACAGCTTTGCTAGAATACAGTCATTCCTGGTCTTTTTCGATCCTTCTAGTCTGCTCTTGCAACGTGATCCATAGTGGAAGAGCTGTAGCAAAAACCCAGTACAGTGGCATAAAGTCACTGCCACTACTTTATTTGCTCATCCTTTACATAACAAACAAACAAACAAACAAACAAACAAAGAATGTGTTGATCTTTGTTTTAAAGGATTAAATACAATAAGACTGTAGACAAAAATGCAAGGAATGTCAGTTAGTTTGTGAGTCTCTGTGTTAATCAGGACTGCAAAAAAAAAAGAAAGAAAGAAAAGTAAAGAAAAAGAAAAGAAAAAGCTTCTCTGAAAAGGATTGAGAAAAGAGGCAGTATAATATTGTGTTAATTAAGCAGGATAATAGTAATAGAGCCTATGTCTACCAGCCATGGGAACTGACCCAACTGACATTATCAGGTGTGAATTCTGCCTTGTGGAGTGGACTGAAAAACTATTGGCATTTGACGGCTGTTGAAAGGAAGGTGTTTGGTTTTGATTTTTTTTTTTTTTTAATGGTTGTAACCTCAGATAGGCTTCCCATGTTCTATATGATGGCCCTATCCCCATGTGTATGTAGATAACACTGGGAGGACTTGGCAGGTTTGAAAAAGGGCATATGAGCATGAAAAGGAAAGATGGTGGTAGTGGCATATGAGACAAGTTGGAGGGAGTTATTTGAATGGATTTGATCAAATTATGATACTATATTGAAATTCTCAAACAATAAATTAAAAATAAAGAAACTCAGGGACTGTTATCCATAGTCAGAATGCCCATCCATAGTGATTTCAGAATAAGAAAGGCAGAGGGTAGCAGAAAGGTGATACCTAAAATCAATGAGTGAATGTTTAATATAAGGGCTCACAGCTAAAGCAGAAGAGCAAATTTCATGAAAAAAAAAAAAGTGTACTTATTCCTATTTCCATCTGAGTTGAATTCTATCCAAACCTCAAAAATAAAATATCTTTTTGGCCATTTATTCCATGAAATAATCATCAGGAACAGCAATGAAATGAGTAGAAAGCTTAAATAATTAACAGAGAGAGTGTGCTAATGTCACAGGACCCAGGATAAGTAAAAATAAACTTAGAATGTCATTAGTGGCTGTGATTTTCAAGTGGCAACATCCAAGAACATTTAAATATCCCGAACAGAAATTCTGTTCCTAAGAAACCCTTGCTGATAGAGCTGCTACTGGTTGTTACTGACGAAGAATTTCTACCAAAGAAGAAAATCAGCAACTGTAGCAGCAATGGTGAACCAAAAGTCAAATAACTATGAGTGCCTCTATATAAATGCTAATTGTAGAACAACAATAATGATGAACAGAAGTTCAAATAAAGCAGAACTAAGTTAGGTATATGAAAATAAGAAGGTACATGTGAAAGAAGAATGCGTGCACAACACGGCACTGAGAATGAGTTCCTCTACAGGGAGCCTCAGAAGAACATAGAAAATACAAATTTCCAGATTGATGAGCAGAAGGAAAAACATCAGTCAAAGATCAGTCATTGAAAAAGGAAGAAAAACTAAAATTAAGTTCGAGAAAATTACAACAAACGTAATCAATTTTTTTTATTAGAGTTAAAATGTAAATAGTCCAGATACCTACTATTTTCAATGGATAGTTAAAAAATTCACCTAGATAAGCTAAAAAATACTAGCATATTTAAAACAGCAAAAAAAAAAAAAGAAACAACACAATATTGACACAGACAAGATGGAACACATGAAGGAAACATCACTGAGAATGAAATTGACCATCCGTTCCATGTGTAAGAAATAATGACCTGAATTTCTGAATTCACACGGCAGCCTCAAAGCATAAAGCTGAGAGAAATAAGAAAACAACTGTCATTACAGTGGCAGGAGAAGCCTCAGCCGACGTGGCTAAAAACTAGCATATCAAGGTGTAAAAGGTAATTTGAAACCACAGAAAGCCTTCATAAACCAGCACCCAAACTCATGCAATAAATTGAACACAGAGAACTGCACTAAGCTATTAGATGCAGGCGTTGTGCTATTTGTCACTCAAGGAACAGCAAGGAACATGAACTGGATTATAAAAACACGTCTCTCTCTCTCCAAAAGAAAGAAGTTAATTTTAGCTTCACAACACAAGGCCAGGAAACCTTCAACCCTCCCCCACCTCTAATATATGTTTGGATAATCCAAGGAGTCTATAGTTCTTCAGAAGTCAAAGAAAATTACAGTATTTATAAAATTCTGCTCAATTTATTTAAAAACTAAATTGTCTGTTTTAGAGTGAAGAGAAAAGAGTTTGAAAATTTATGACTTAAGAGCTCAAGTCACTCAGTCCCTGGCTCTCTGATCACCTCCTCCCTGAGGGATGGACAGCCTTACCAGGAC